TGGCTCTTAAGTCTGTACTTCGATTTTACCTTATTCTAAAAGTCCACATCTGTTAAAAAAATAAATAAATAACTGAAGACAACCGTGATAATTAGAAGTCGAGATGAGACAAAATTATTTTCCCCTTGTGTCTGACCATTCACTCATGCAAATTAAAACACGTATTCGCGTGACTAGAGATTGAAGAAATATAGCGTGAATACTTAAATTCTGAAGCTATAAGTCCTCACGTTATTTATGAAAAGACAAATCCGAATTTGTAGAAATATTGTGGCAATTACAGACGTAACGAAAGTGAACCATTCGCTAAGCTTGGCTGTTAGGTTACCACAGCCGCGACTGTTATTTGCCCATTTCAGACCACGTGACCAATCCATGACGTATGAAATAAATAAAGGTTTATTAGGGGCCAACCATTTAACTTTTGAGGGGGGGTGAGTGGGTGATTTCTGGTCATCAAGAAAATTTTTTTTCTAGCAATCTGCTGTGCAGAATATTTTTTTTCGTTCTAAATGCTTTTTTTTTTCTGTTACATTTGGGCTGCATGCAATTTTTTTCTTCCAACAAGCGCTTGCAGCAAATTTTTTTTTCCAAAATCATCAACCCTCCTCCCCCCTTCAAAAGTTAAATGGTCGGCCCCTTACTGTCACAAACGCAACGGTTCTCTCGACATGTTCAGGCATGCCCGTGAACATTTAATTTTCCGAGCAAGACTGAAGCTTTAAATTGTTATAGAAGTTTCTTATCAAACTATTTTCTTCCGTCAGGCGAGTTTATGTCAAATCAGTTTTACGAAATTTACATTGTTTTAACTCAGAGTTGGTCACTTTAGTGACTTTTAAAAACTTTCCACTTGTTTTTTTTTTTATTTTAGGGTTGCAGAAGCAGTAACGTTGGCATTTCCGGCATCTTTTACGTTTGTCGTTAACGTTTCACGATGATCTGAGAGAAAACTGCACTTAATGATGAAGTTTCGACATTTGCTTCAGGTATGTCAGAATAGCCACAATTCAACACAAATTCTTGTCGAAAAAAACATGAAATCAAGCTTAACTTGATAAAACTGAAACACGAGTAAATCGGCTTTCAAAGACCAAGAGAATGTGTGAAATATAATTTACAAAGCCTTGTGGATATTCCAAAGTAGACGAAATAATGAAAAGAGAGGGTAAGTCTTCTCTTGTCCTGTCTCAATACTTATTTTTAAAGGACAGCTTCAGAGACCGATTTTTAAAGCAAATGCAAATACGTATGATGAACGATCCTCGCAGTAGATTACGTATGATGCACGATCCTCGCAGTAGAGAGCGCTATTTATGCAATAGCGAAAATCAGACCTGAAAAAAATTTCAGGCCTGTGGGATTCGAACCACTGACCTCTGCGATACCAGCGCAGCGCTCTACAAATTCAGCTAACAAGCCAACTGGGAGCAGATCGTTAAGTTGATTCGTAATAAACCCGTGATGATAAATCAGATACGGTGAATATATGAAGTTCATATATTTTGAACTGCGGTTATAGATACGTATGATGCACGATCCTCGCAGTAGAGAGCTCTATTTCTGCATTAGCGAGAATCAGACCTGACAAAAATCGGGCCACTACGGGATTCGAACCACTGACCTTAAATGGTCACGATCTTAAATGGACCAGACGCTCGGCAGTCAGAAACTTTCCCAGAGTTTACACTGCGGAATTTTTCTCTCAACCCTCCTAACTTGGTATCAGATGTTTGCAGTTTAGGAATGTGAAGCTAATCCAGAAATCTCTTTGATGTTTAGTTCAGGAATTTTTTGAGCTCGTACAATTTCCGTGATAAATCTATTAATGCTGTGACTTCCGTCACGCTGCTTTCGTCCGCATCGCATTAGGGAGCTTTAGCAACTACGACGGCGACGGCAACGAGAACGGCAGAAAACAATAGGCTTAATGAGCAAAAACAATCGCCATGCACGTGCGTTTAACATTTTGGTACTTTTCTTTGCCGCTCTCGGCAAAACAACAACGTGAAATAGCCAAAGTTTAGGTTTTCTCGAGAACGTGAACGCATGACGGTTAATTTTTCTTTCTCCTTACTTTAACACCGTTCGTAGTGATTTAGTCGCTGAGTAGTTCGCCAGCATTTTCCAAGTGAAACACATCGCAATAACCTCGAAAGAGTTACAAAAACGAAAAGTTAGATTTCGACTCGACGTTTTCGTTGCCATCGCCGTCGTCGTTGCTAAAGCTCCCTAACGAAACTCCCGGTGAGTCGTCGAAAAACTTATAACATTCTTTTGGAATATTCTCTTTAGTTTATCCAAATATAAAAATTACACTGCCTAAGCATCTCTGAGATATTAAGACCGTCAATAAAAGTCACCAGCTAGTCGTTAACTTGCTCGGTGAGAATATTAGTTTGTCCGCGAGTTTAGACAAAAATTTCTTCGCCTTGCTAGAGATGATCAGTAAAGCAAAACTTTGTGAAAGCATTTACCTGATTAACTAGGAAACTTCAAAACAAGTCAATTTTCTTCCATATCTTGTTTAAAAGTTTACCAGCATTTACAAAAAGTGATTTGATTCATATCGGCTTGTAATACTCTCCAAGCGGTATCTTAACTCGAAATAGAAATACTCAGATGTTAATTTGTTTCAGCCTTTGGATCGGCAAACAGGATATAGAATATGAGAATAATTCACCATTATTATTCGTCGTATTCTAGAATTAAAGCACGGTCTTAGTTACTTATTTCAAGAATGAGAATAATGTGTGGTTCTTCATCATTGCCGGTGTCTAAATGTCTTCTTCAAGCACGCAATAAAGACGGCACATTCCAGAGAATCATGAGTTTAAGAGAATAATCATTTGTGGTACGCATGACCTTATAAACCAAGTGTTACAGTTTAAACTTTCAGGAAAACCGAACTACTTCTTCAAGACTAGTCCTTCCCGAGAAAAAATAAATACAAGACATACTTTCCAGACTTTCCAGAGAGGAAGCTACTACTCGACCAGTTATGCCTAAAAGTTCGCTCTAATGAAATCGCTCGCGAGCTCATTTCCGTGAGTAAGTCCAGAAAAACCGTCAATACTTATTTTAGCGAAACACTCGGCTAACGGATCCTGCTCGATCAAATACACGTCTATGGAGCTTGTCGACACTTTTTTTATGGAAGGAATCGTCCGTAGTTCAAATTATGATTACTTGGTTGCCTGCATGCAGAGGTCTCCTATTTCCTTTGCTGCACGCGGAAAAGGGACGTCTGCGTAACGCCGTTGCTAATCATGTTCAAGCGTTCCGATGGCAGGGTATTTATTTCCGCATAAATTGTGAAATAATCTTTCCCAGGCTATCTAACTCTTCGGGCAGCATGTTCAATCTTACCTTGCTTGGCCACTGAACCTTTATTTGTACAACAGTTTGACTTTTATTTTGAGCTTGTTCACGTATGATTGCTGGTCTAGCTTGAGCAACGTTGGAAATAACGTCAAACGTGGGATTATTGTTTTTTACAGCCGTTGAAGAATGAATTGAGCCAAAAACGTTCGACGATTCCTCTAAGAGAATTCTCTTCTCAGGAGAAACAGTCTCTCTGCAGTTAAATCGTGTAGCCCTATAGTTTTTGGAACCACGTAGTATTGAGAATTTTCTTCGTCAAGTTCTCGTAAGTTGGTGCGAGGTCCACGCCGCTTTTGCAGTTTTCTCACATACTGTCTTCAAATATGATGGGGTGTATCATGTACATTAAATTGTAAAGAAGCAATTTACGGGCACACTTTAAATTTTTCGCGGCCCCGCACAATATTTCGATCGCTCTGCTTTCCAATCGACGAAAAACACAGCACAGAATTGCCCATCCTTTTATTTGTTTTGACGGGAAAACCCCGCTTACATAAATCACCACATACATTATCAGAGCAGATTATCAGAGCAGTCAAACAATTGGCGCTGTGTGTCGGACGTAGATTTCTCTGTTATCTAATTTTATGGTTACATCGTTACATAACGTACTTCTTAGGATCATCCTTTGTGTAAACGTACTTTGAAAATCTTGCTGGTGTACAGCACGTGTTTTGGGATTTGCAATAAAAAAGTTGGTCTTTCGTGAGTTTTACTTCAGTGTCAGCCTGTCACAGACACTGGAACACGATTAGCGATGGAGTTACGCTTACTTCTCTTTTCCGCGCGCAACATAGGAAATAAGAGACGTCTACACGCAGGTAAATTACTTGGCTATTCCAAAGTGCAAGTCCAGCACAAAATTTTCTGTCTTCCCACGAAATCTGTTTTTAATGTACCTGGAAAACGAAAATTTCATCAGACTTGTAGTATTTGTAACACAAAGTAATGGACACAAAGCCAATATATAACCGCCATGTACTATTCTGCACACGTCAACCTACTCTGATGGTCCCGGATCTAGCTACCAGTACCTTAATCTCTATCTTTTCCCGAAAAGACAAAGGAACCACTAAATGGTCCATATGGAAATAAACAGGAACTATGGTGCACCAAAGCAGGCGCCTAGACTCTAACTGCAGTAAATTAACGTCTTAAACTTTATAAAATAAATTGGCTTAGTGGGTATAAGGTCAAAATTCAACCATTTATCAGTTTCTTAAGTGTCCAAGACAGTACATAGTTAGTCAAAGCCCTCGGGGGCCGGCTAACTCTTTCCAACTTACGCGGGGCGTCGTACGTAACAGTCTCTTCTGTGAGAGTCATTCCTAGACGGGACTCGTCCACCACTTTCACCTTTGGTTCTGTAGCAATATACGGTGCTGACTCAGTCACCAGAGGCTTGATGTGTTTGAAATTCCTTTTTTGTTGAACTCCCTTGGGTGACTTCAGTATTACCTAGTATCCATTTCTTACATAAACCTCTTAAGGCTTACTCTCATGTGCTGGGGACAGCTTGTTCTCTTTTCTTCGTTCTATCAGAACCGAATCTCCAACAGCAATATGTCTGCCTGTAGCAAGGTTTCTTGCCTCAGCATACTATTTGGCTTGCCGTATCTTTGCCGCATCTCGATCTCTCACTTGTTGTAATGCTCCATCACTCCGATCTCTTGCTTCAACAAACTCTGATAGCTTGGTAGTTAAGTTCCTTTTAAAGAATAGCATGACCGGGCCGACCCCTGATGTTTTGTGATTCGTTGATCCATTGGCCAACAGAAACTTGTTTAATTCTTGGCGTCCATCTTTTTCTTCAGCTTGAAAAACTTTTATGGCTTTTAGGAGTGAACGATTCTCACACTCGACTTCATCATTGCCTCTTCGCCATAAGGGTGTATTGCAGGGGTGTGCAATACCCATTCTCTCCAGATACATCTCCATCTCCTCTCCATTATCAGTCCTTAAACCAACCCGTACACCATGCCTTGCGAAATGGTTGTAAATACATTTTATGATTGTAGCATTGTTGTGAAGTGGAGCACATCTATTTCCATCCATCTTGAGAAATAGTCCACTACAACTAGTAAGTAGTCTCTTGGGGGTAACGGTCGACGATCCTTGTCCCTCTTGGCACTATCCGGACAATGTAAGTTAACTCATCACGGACTCTTTTCTCAGGTTAATTAGCTGTGATCCTGAAAACTCAAAGTCACAAAAAGCCCAATAATCTTTTCGAAAGACTTTGAAACGGTGTATTACCCTATGCCCTTTTCAAAATTTGGACAACCGCGAGTAAAATTCACAGCCCGAATTCAGAGAGGATAATATCGCTGAGTCCATGGTCGAGATGTTGAAACATGTACAGCAACTTGACAATGAGGAAATACCAAATGCTCGCGCTGGGGAAGACTGCCTTAATCTGGAAAACGAGCTCCCAAATTCACTGCAAATGTCTGATGAAGAGATTTTAGCCCCCATTGTCGGAGATTCGACGGAAAGCGAAAGTGTATGTAGCGATTAGGAAGAGGAGGGCGACAACGAGAAACTAGTATCGACTAAAGAGGCAGCACAATGTTTCAAAAAACACTTGTCGAGGATGGAATCACAGAGCGATGCCGACTGTGCATTTAATGCAGCTAAGACGAATGATGGACTTTGCAATGCGATCAAGCTATAAGTCTCATGTTGAAGCAAGCTAACATGCTTGAACATTTTAGACCTTTGTAAATACCTGAACCGAAAGTTTTTTTTATCGGAAATACATACAGGCTGCGTAGACTTCACAATTAAAATGGTGTTTTCTTTGCTTTTGTTTACATTTCTATCTCAGATATTCAAATTTTCCATTATCCGGACTCTCGACTATCCGCACTATTTACTGAGGTCCCGACGAGTCCGGATAATCGAGGTTCGACTGTACTAGGGAATAAGCTTTTGAAGTCTCACTCCAGTTACCGATCTTCAAAGACTTGCGCACAATTGCCAATCTTTCGTCCATAAACGAAACGTCGTCTATTTCCTCAGTCCTCAAGGCTACGGGCACAGCCTGCAGCGTAACTTCACGCACGGGTTCTTCATTCTCGAGATGTCCATTTGACGCTGGTATGTTAGTTCATCGCATCTGCAATGTTCTCCCTGGAAGTTACTTAACGAACTTTGTACTTGTAGGGCTGTAATCTCAAATCCCAATGTTCGATGCGTGCTGATGGTTTAGATCTGGGGCCATAGATGGTATTCAGTGCTTGATTGTCTGTCACCAAGTCAAAGTCTGGGAGGCCGTACAAATACAGATTGAATCCCTCGTAGGCCCACACGAGGGCTAAAGCCTTTTTCTCTGTTTGACTATATCTGCGCTCAGTGCCACTAAGACTTCAATGGCCGCAATGACCTGCAAGTGTGCTTTCCAGTGAAAGTAGGCTAACATGGATGCTCCAGCAAGATCCTCTTTCATCGTTTTTTGAAATTATAGACTAGTGAGCAGCACGTCTGCGAACAGTAGTTGTAAAACTTCTTGTATTTTCCTACGCGTTTCGTCTAACTGTCGTAGACTTCTTCAGGGAGTTTTACAAGTGTGACTAAACGCCTGTATTTATAAGCCAAAGTTACAGGGGCCGATGACCGTAAAGTCTCGGCCGGACTTACGAACAGGAACAGGCGAAGTTGCGAAAAATTTGTGAAAAATTTAACACGTGTAAGGCAAGGTGAGAAAATATTTTTTGGGCCTCGGTTTTAGCTAACAGTTAGACGAAACGCGTAGGAAAATACAAAAAGTTTTACAAGTACTGTTCGCAGGAGTGCTGCTCACTAGTCTATAATTAAAAAGTTGTTGAAAGCGTTCTCTTGTTCTTTTCCCCCGACAAATAACTCATAAGGGCTCTGCCCTAGTCGCAAAATCTGGAACAAATCGGAAACTAAATCCAACCAGAACTAGTAAACTTCTCACTTCTGAGGCTGAAGTTGGACGGGTTGTTTCTTATACTGCTCGTACTTTTTTCTCCTATGTGGGACCGATGACACGCTCTTAAAGGAGTATCCCCATGAAAACAACTTTGTTCAATCCAAAGGTACGCTTGCCGCCATTCAAGGTAAGGCTCTTATCTTCCAGCCTTGCCAATAGCTCATGCAGATCTCGATCCTGTTCAGCGACCGTCTTACCGTGAACAACCGATTCATCCGCAATGTTTACAACTCCATGAATGTCTGCGATAACTTGTCTGTTGATGTGTTCATATTTCTCAGGAGCTGCATTTACTCCAAGGCTCACTCTCTTACAAGGAAACAAACCTTCATGTGTTAGAAAGGTGGTAATGTCCCTGCAATCTGGATGGAGCTCAATCTGTTGAAAACCGTGATGCAAATCTAACCTAGAGAAAACTGAACTTCCATTAAGTTTTTCTAAAACCTAATCAACAGTGGATATCGACAAGCGTTCTCTAACTATTGCCTCGTTTGCTCGTCGCATGTTCACACAAAGTCTAATGTCGCCATTAGGCTTACGTGCAATGAAAAATGAGCTTTCCCATGTGGTGGGGCCTTCCACCCCTTCAATTATATCGGCATGTAACAGCTCTTTCATTTTAGCCTCCACGTTTTGACATAGTGCAAATAGTACTCGCCTCACCTTTTGTGCCACTGGTGGTACATTTGGGTTTACATGTAACTTCAATTGAAAGTCTTTGAGCTTTCTAATTCCGCTGAAAACTTTAGATACTGAGCTTTCAGTGAATCTGCAACGTCACCCCTTATCTCATTGCAGTTATCACCCACAGGACTAACTCTTGGCCCAAGATCCTTTGCAGTACCATCTCCCAGAATGCAACGCCCTTTCTTGACCACTATAAATTTAGAGGTTACTTAAGTATTCACTAAGGAAATTTCAACTTAAAATTGGCCAACGACATCAATTTTATTGCCAGCATAAGCAAACAGTTTCTTGGAACAATGTTCAATGTCCCCATTCTTCCCCAATCAAATTGCTTACAGATCTAGAAACAATCAAAACTTCCTGAGCAATACCATTAATATTCACTTTCATCATAGACTCACTTGAAGATGATACCCACAAAAATATTCTTCGTTGTTTTCAGTCACCACAAAATCAAAAGCAGGGTTTTCCATACCACAACTGTTGCCTTCCCGAGGATCTTCAACATCGTTTGTCTGTCTTCCCGAATTCTTTTTGTTGTCACACGCTTTTCTTGAATTGGCCTCTCTCCCTCTCTCAGTTGCCGTTTTAAGGCAAGGTGACAAAAATATTTTGGGGGCCACGGCCTTAGCTAAAACCGTGGCCCTCCAAAAAACTTAGTTACATAGATTAGCTATTGTCACAGTTTTCTTGTACCACACAGTACAATCTAGGTTTGGTAGAATATAATTGATAACGTTCTTAATACGGGCATGACTGCAGTTGAAAGTAGTCTTAAAGACAATAGTCCTGCCTGGGCGAGATCTCTGCTTAGTTCCTATACACCTTTGCCATAATGGCAGCAGCCGAGTGAAGACTAAAGTTAATGCATAAGGACGAGGCCACCCGGGCATGCGGGATTTGTGCACTTGTAAGCGTTTGTCAAAAAGTTTCTGGCGCAATTTATTAATCCAAAAAGCTTTGTCTCTCAAAGGATCGATTACTAATATAGCTAAGGCTCAAGTTATGTACAATGCCATGCCACTGCTGTGTTCCTTTATGTACTACTAGGGGATATCGCGACGAAAACGTTTAAAAAATATCTTACTCCAAGTTTCCCAAAGAAAACTTGCGAGAAAGCAATGGCTTCATGCTATCCGTTTAGAGGAAGGAAAAAACTTCAAAGTCTTGGACTCGATCATGCTCTGCTCGCACTGTTTCAAAAAGGAAGACTTGAAGAAAACTTTAGCGGGCAAAATATGCCTTCAAACCAGTGCCGTACCTTCGGTATTTCAGTGGCGTACTTCGCCGCGCAAAAGAAAGCCTCCACCTCAAAGATCCACTTGTCAAGCAACTACTCATCAATCATCCAGGGCTTTATTCATGGTGTGCACAGAAAGTAGCGTAAATGAGAAATCGAATCAACAGCTAGAGAGTCAGATTACAACCGTAGAATCTAATGAAAACAACGTCGAAAATGAGGCAAAGAGAAAAGATGTCAAAACTCAGACCGATTTGGCCGAGTTGAAGGATGCACGGATTCAGACTGATCAGAGTGTTGTCGCGCTTGTGAAACAGTATGAAATGAGAATAGAAGAGCTCCAAAGAGAAATAGAAGGCATTTCAAAGAAGAATGAATGTTTACATGTAAAAAGTAGACTTTTTTCTTTTGAAAGATTTCGCCGCGACAATTCTGCTGTCCTTCTACACTTCGTTTCCTAAGGAAGCTCCTAACAACGCTGTTTTAATGGAAATCTACAACTATCTAGACCCCAGAACGTGTTATATGATTCTTTAATTCCACTCTAGTAAACGGAAGCATCTTCTGAAGTGAATAGCACCACATAGATTCAGGGAACTTAACGGGAACATGTCGTTTAGCAGTGGAGTGTGAACTTGTGTTGTTTGCCGAGCGTAGTTGTTTTCGTTTAAAATAAGGATTGTTTGGATCAGGATCAATGATGTTTTTATCCTTTCCGCTCTTGATGTATTTAAGAACCCTAAAGTATAAGAAATTAGGTCAATTTAAGTGCAAGGAATCACAATTGACAATTTTGTCAAGCAATCAAAACACCTCGAAGTACGCATCTTGTGCTCGAGACTAACCTTTTCACAAGCTCTGCTTTTGTCTTTAAACCTTTCGCTGGGTTACCTCTGCACTTCAACTAGGACTCAAGTCCTCAGTCTTAAATTGTGAGAGATTTCTATCTCCTAAGGAAGCTCCAGGAATGTCATTTTCGGTGAAAAAGCTCGAGGAATTGTGAGAGTTTGTATTCGCGTCAGACGCCGTATGGGTTGCCCGGGTGGCCTTGCTTTTGTGAAATTATTCATAACTAGTCTCAGACCTCCATCGGATTTTTCGCCGTCAAAGCAAGGTTGAGTAAGAACCACGCCGTTCTCGAATTCGACATGTGTTACTGGTGTAGGGTACTTCAGCGACTGCCTATGGCTTGGGACCATATCTTCCGCGAGCACTTCGGACGAACAAGTAATAAATCGTTATTTTACCCGGAGCCTGAGAGATCTATGCGCAGTAGAGAGTTCTCAGCGTGTTTGAGTCATCCAGTCCTCTGCAAGTTCTTTTGATTAGCCCTAGCATTCTGTTGGCTTTAGACACAATAATATCAATGTGCGAATTCCAATTCAAGTGCTCAGTAGTTGTTTAACCCAAGTCTTTGAATTCTTTAACTTCTTCCACGATGGAATTGTCCAAGGAAAATTCAGAGACATAAGGTTGTTTTCTCTTTGTTATTCTCGTGCACCATTTTCGCATGGCTGGGGAAGCTGTTTCCTCTTTCGTGAGCCGTTTTATGTATCCCTTTTCCATGTCTACGTCAATAGTTTTCTTGTAATTTGCAGCCAACTCAGGATCACTAGTAAGTCTCTTCTCAAGAAATTCAAGTCACCGAGCTGCAGTGTTAAAGTTGTCAGGAAGACTAATAACGTCATCACACCAAATCGAGAGAACCTCCCAACGACCTTGCACCTTCCATGTACTTTCTCTCAAGAATTTCATGACTCTTCCATGTTCAACTGAACGTTGGGTATCGTTATCATAACGTCAACCAAAGTTCTCTGTTCGCCACCAGCTTTTACGGTTTCAATTGAGCTCTTCGTCTGGAGTTACCACATGAACTTTATAAATAGATTCTTGTTCTTGAATATGAACAGGTACCCGGCCAGTAACAGTCCAACCAATCCTAGTGCGAACACCAATAGGGGAACCCCTCGAACCACGCCGTATTTCCAGGGGGACTATGAGTTCCGCGGCATCACTACTAAGGAGTAAAGTGACTTCAGTCCCCGAAAGTTTCGTCAGCCTTAAGTCTGAGTCTATCCAATGTAACTTTTACAACAAGAGAGGGTTTTCCAAATCTAGATTCCAATTCCTTTAGTGCTTCATAGTAAGAATCTCCACAGTAACCATATCCTTCAATTGCAGACTTCGCTCTTCCAATCACAGAATTCTAAAGATGTTACATTTTTCCATCAAGGGAAAGATTAGCATCATGAAAAATCGATTTAAACATTGAAGACCAATCAGACTAGCGTAAAGGATCACCATCAAACTTTTGTAGGTGTAATTTAGGAAGAGAGTCCCGAGTAGAATGAGCACAGAACGGGGGTTTGGGGTTGTTTATACTTGTTAAAGCTGATGGCTGTGCTCGTAAGTCTCCAATCCATGAGTGATAAGATGGCAATGTTTCTTTAGATTTGCCAGACCTTGAGCTCTGATGGACTTTGAATGAGACAGCTGATTTTGTCTGTTGTAATAATGGTGTTAATTTAACAGCTTCTATTATGATGTTTGTTGACAACACAGTTCCATGATTCAGTTCTACTTCATGGAAAATATCAGTGAGGAGTTTGGGGATCATGGGTAAGTGTCCCACCACAGCATTTGATTGTTAAAATTCCAAAGATTCATCAACAAAATCGAGCAATCAATTCGGCAGAGTTTCAGGGTCATGATCTTCATTTTCAAAGATTGCTTCTTCTGCTGCGAGACGCGCAACCTCGTCCTTGGCTTCCTGAGTCTTTCTTTTTCCTTCGGCCTTACATTTGAGCCTTTCAGCTTCGTCTTCAACAAGTTTAAGTTTTCTTTTAACCTCCAGTTGTTTTTCGAACTCCTCCATTCTTTGCTGTTCCTCCAAGGTAAGCTCTTTCACTTTAATTTCCGCTGAGGTCATTCTCGCACGAATTTCGGCTGCTTGAGAGGATCTCGCCGCAGTAGAAGTTTTGCTTAATTTAACGGAGCTCAATCAGCTAAAACTTTCCTCTGCTCTTTCGAAAAGGTGCGCATTAGCCTCCAATTTAGCGTCTTTAACTCTTTCGAGCTGTTCCCCGTACCAATTTAAAGCGGTTTCGTGTTCATTCTCTGGGATTACAGAGACGAGCTCATCATTAAGGTCTTTCGCCTCGATGAGAAATTCTTGTAGTTTGCTTAAGTAGTCACAAATAATAGCTTTCCGTCCATGTGACTCAACGGTTAATACTAATTTCCTCACAGTGTTAGTTATTCTTCTTTTGATCGTAGCACGTTTATTTTTTAAACTCGTAACTTTCCTACTCGCTGTTTGAGTTGTGTTAGTTGAATCCAAAGGGCGTCCGCCATCGCTGATCGCTTCGGTTGAATCAATACCAAATTTCACACCACTTCTTCGATTCGCTCGTCCGGCTTCCAAGGACCGGAAAATGTTGCCGAAACTTTAACTCAAAGCCATTTGCATTTTCTAACCATAATTGATTCCAGTTCTGACAGCCAGGTTACAAAGTTTCTTACTTAGTACGTCATAAAATATCAACGTAAATGTACACTCCGCAAAACACTGCCAAGCTATATTGTTCTGCGGCGGTAACACGCTGACTGTTGTCGATCT